TTTGAACTGTGGTGTTGGTGAAGACTCGTGAGAGTCCCTTGGACTGCAAGGAGATCCAACCAGTCCATCCTAAAGGAAATCAGTCCTGAATATTCATTGGAAGTACCGATGCTGAAGCTTCAACTCCAATATTTTGGCCACCTGATGCTGGGAAAGACTGAAGATGGGAGGAGAAGGGGACCACAGAGGATGAGATGGTTGGATAGCATCACCGACTCAATGGACATGAGTTTGGGCAAGCTCCAGGAGCTGGTGATGAACAGGGAAGCCTGGCATGCTTCAATCTATGGGGTCGCAAAGAGTCGGACACGACTGAGCAACTGAACTGAAGTGAACTGAACTTTGCATTGATCAATGCAAAGAAATAGAGGAAAACAATAGAATGGGAAAGACTAGAGATCTCTTCAAGGAAATTAGAGATACCAACGGAACATTTCATTCCAAGATGACCACAATAAAGGATAGAAATGGTATGGACCTAACAGAAGCCAAGAATACACAGAAGAACTGCACAAAAAAGATCTTACTAATCCAGATAACCACAATGGGGTGATCACTCACCTAGAGCCTGGAATGTGAAGTCAAGTGGGCCTTAGGAAGCATCACCATGAACAAACCTAGTGGAGGTGATGGAATTCCAGCTGAGCTATTTCAAATTCTAAAAGATGATGCTGTGAAAGTGCTGCAATAAGTGTGGCAACAAATTTGGAAAACTCAGCAGTGGCCACAGGACTGGAAAAGGTCAGTTTTCATTCCAATCCCAAAGAAAGGCAATGCCAAAGAATGTTCAAAGTAGCACGCAATTAAACTCATCTTAAACACTAGCGGAGTAATGCTCAAAATTCTCCAAGCCAGGCTTCAACAGAATGTGAACCGAGAACTTTCAGATGTTCAAACTAGATTTAGAAAAGGTAGAGGAACCAGAGATCAAATTGCCAACATCCATTGGATCATAGAAAAAGCAAGAGAATTTCAGAAAAACATTTCTGTTTTATTGACTACACTAAAGCCTTTGTGTGGATCACAACAAACTGTGGAAAATTCTTAGAGATGGGTATAGCAGACACTTTACCTGCCTCCTGAGAAACCTGTATGCAAGTCAAGAAACAACATTTACAAATGGACATGGAACAACAGACTGGTTCCAAATTGGGAAAGTAGTACATCAAGGCTGAATATTGTCACCCTACTTATTTAACATATGTAGAGTATGTCATGAGAAACACTGGGCTGGATGAAACATGAACTTGAATAAAGATTGCCGGGAGAAATAGCAATAACCTCAGATATGCAGGTGACACCACCCTTATGGGAGAAAGTGAAGAGGACCTAAAGAGCTTCTTGATGAGGGTGAAAGAGAAGAGTGGAAAAGTTGGCTTAAAACTCAACATTCAAAAAACTAAGATAAGGGCATCTGGTCCCATCACTTCGTGGAAAATAGATGGGGAAGCTGTGACAGATTTTATCTTCTTGGGCTCCAAAATCACTGCAGATGGTGATTGTAGCCATGAAATTAAAAGATGCTTGCTCCTTGGAAGAAAAGCTATGACAAACTTGGACAGCACATTAAAAAGCAGAGACATTACTTATCACCAAAAGCCCATCTAGTCAAAGCTATGATTTTTCTAGTAGTTATGTGTGGACGTGAGAGTTGGACCATAAAGAAAGCTGAATGCCAAAGAATTGATGGTTTTGAACTGTGGTGTTGGAGAAGACTCTTGAGAGTCCCTTGGACAGTTGGATTTCATCACTGACTTGATGGATATGTGTTTGAGCAAACTCCAGGAGTTGGTGATGGACAGGGAAGCCTGGAGTGCTGCAGTCCATGGATTTGCAAGTGAGCAAACCAGTCAGTCCTAAAGGAAATCAATCCAGAATATTCATTGGAAGGAGTGATGCTGAAGCTCCAGTACTTTGGTCACCTGAAACAAAGAACTGACTCACTAGAAAAGACCTTGATGCTGGGAATGATTGAAGGCGGGAAGAGAAGGGGACCACAGAGGATGAGATGGTTGGATGGCATCACCGACTCGATGGACATGCGTTTGAGTAAGCTCCGGGAGTTGGTGATGGACAAGGAGGTCTGGCGTGCTGCGATTCATGGGGTCACAAAGAGTCGGACACGACTGAGTGACTGAACTGAACTGAACATGGTGTTAAAGACGTAATTTCCATGTGTCTAATTCAATCTAAAGATGGAGATGGGGTCATTCTGGAGAATTATCTAGAGAAGGTACCTGGATCTTAATAAGAAAAGTGTTTTTTTGTTGTTGTTTTCAGTCAAGAGAAGAGCACATGAAAGACATGTTACCAGAGGAAAACATGCCCTGTTTCAGACCCACAGTCTGTGGGGAGTGCAAACTGTGTTTGTTTGAAAGTCACTTGTCACCTTGTAAGATGAAAGTGGGCCGTGGTTGATGTCAGAGATAGAAGATACAGAGAACACAAGTAAATGAGGTCCCCAGAAGCTACTAGGAGTGTGAGGTGGCGGTAGGGAGTCCATTTTTTGAGCCTGGAAGAAAAGTTGTAAAGTAAGTATGAATGAAGATGGCTTTGTGGGTGCAGCCCAGGGTGACAGGGGGAACTGGAAAAGCATAGATTGTAAGCTATTGACCACTAGTGTCCTGATCTAAATGGGGGGAGCTAGAAAAAGCAAGAGCACGTGAGTGACCGGGGGCTTGAGTGAGTGTGCCAGATTTGGAGTAGTAATCATAAGAATGGGAGAAAAAATAACCAAGAACCACCACCCCCCAAAAAACACAAAAAGACAGTTAAGTGGTACTAGAGGCCTAGCCAAGACCAGAGAATTAAATTATGATAATCTGGATAGCTGTATGGTTTTTCTCTTAGCATTTCTTAGCAGTCTCAGTATAGAAATGACACAGGCATATTTTAAGTATTGATTCATTGTTGGAATTTGCTGTGGTGAAACAAAATGTGTGTGTACATCGGGAGTCTTAAAGTTACGCGTGTGTATTTACAATGATCCGCTCAGGGCTTCCCTGGTGGTTCAGTGGTTGGGGGTCCACCTGCCAGTTCAGGGGCACAGATTCTCGACCCCTGACTTGGGAGGAAGTCTCAGGGTGGCCGGGCCCGGTGCGCCAGCTGCCGACGCCTGCACGCTCGAGCTGCGCTCTGCGGCAGGAGGGGCCACCGCAGCCAGGAGGAGCCCTCACGCTGCGCAGCTTGAGAAAGCCCACACACGACAGGGAAGACCCAGCCAGGAATAAATAAATTAAAAGTTTTTTAAGGAATAAATAAAATGATCAGGCCCGAGTTCAAGCTTGTAGGGAAAAAGAACCAGTAAACTGGAATAGCAAGAGTTCTACCTCTTACTGGGTGGAGAGAAAATATATGGTCCCAGAAAGCAGGATGAGTATGTATAAGATTTCTGGGAAGGAGCTTTCTACACCAGTTTAGGATGTGACGGGGGCACTGCTGATTGAAATACAGTAGTGAACGGTATTGTTGCGATGTAGAGATCCAAGGATTTCAACTTTAGATTACTGTATAGATCTTGTTCATGGGTGTTGACAGTTCTCAAGTGGTAAAGTGCAGTTTCAATGAAGTGAAACACTGGTCATTGTCCCAAACGTGACAGGCAGGTTTGGTTTTGAATAGCAAGGTCTTGGCTGTACAAATGGATGATTTTGAGGTATGTGGGGAGAAAGATCATTGGAATCCAGAAATTTAGAGAGCTCTCATGCTGAATAAATCATCTGCATAATGTATAAGTAATAAGATATTGTGGCATGTCTTATGACTAATATTGGAATAGTAATGAACATTTTTAAGAAACTTAACAACTGGAGTATGCTATGAAAATGTTTTCTACTGATGAAAAATCGGAGGTATAGTAAATACTACTGTTCGTTGCCTAACATAATTGAAGAAAATGCTAACTTTCAGTTACAGTTTAATGAAAATAAAGATGTAACTTTTCTCTCCATCGAAGTTCATAGACCCTCTGCATTCCATCATGACTTTCTGGCTAAGAAACCATTTAAAGGATGGTTTATCTAGAAGGCAGAAACCTGAGTAAAAAGTGGTTGTTGCAAAGTGTAGAAATGTTGGTGCAGAGCTCAGAGAAAATCTCCACGGCCTCTGGACCCTGTGGTGCTCTGGGAGTAAGGGTCTTGTAGGTGGTGTGTGCCTCTGTGAGTAGGCCAGCCCACTTGCAAGAAGTGCGGTAGGGTCCTTTGTGATAGAAAGCCATGTTTCAAGGCAGACCAAAACTGTCAAGGAGAAGATGTTGATGAGAGCTTCAGAGGCACAGTGGAAATCCTCAGGAAAGGGTACAGTGAATGGACGAAACGGTGAGGAAAGGACAAGCTGGTAATGAAGCTGTAGAAGTTGGCCAGAGTGAAGTGAACTCGCCTTGAAGCCCTGGGCAGATAAAAAGCTGAGACCTAGAATGTTTGAAAGCATGTTGGGACAGGTGTTCTGAAACAATCAGTAGTAAGGGCCAAAGCTTTTGCTCAGTTTCCAGGTGGTATCCTGCTGAGAAACTGTTGGATACCCCTGAAGATATCAGTAGTTCAAGACTGAAAAACCTGAAGTCAGATTGAGTCAGTTGATACCAAACAGTGCAGAAAGGCAATGAGGTGTGTGGTGTCTTGGTAAATCACCAAATTTTGTTCTTTTGACCTTATTTTTATTACTGGTGCCAAATACATAAAACCATAAGAGGGTTGGTCAGATTTGCCACCCTACTCTAAAGGAGGGATTTAGGCATGTCTGCCAGAATAAAGAAAATAACAAGAGAAAACTAAGTATTTGTTGGGGGATTAATAAGCCTAGATAAACTTTCAGTTGATATAATTTAATGTTCAGTGACTTGAAATGGAGAGAAGAACCTTGGTCCTTCTGACTGGTCAACTCAGTAACTTTTAGATGTTAATACTTAAGCTTTATATGCACAGGGTTATTACTTTAATGATAAATTTGTTAATTAGTAGATTGATTCTGTTTGTATTGATTTTTTTAATTTTTTTTTTTAGGAATTAGCTCTCCGTAGCCAGTTACCAACACTGGAGCAGGATGGTGGGACTCAAAATCCAGTATCTTCTCCTGGGATGTCTCAGGAATTGAGAACCATGACGACCAATAGCTCAGATCCCTTTCTTAACAGGTTGGTAAGAGTTGCTGCTGGCCAACACCTGAAAAAAATCCCAGCTTACGGTGTTCTCCTTAGTGCTTCTATATAATAAGCTATTTGAACATCCGTGTGGGCCAAGAACCACGGCTGTAAATGAATCTCTCCATAAACGGCCCGGACGATAAAGCTTGAGGATTAGACGCTGGCTGCTGTGAGAGGAAGTGAGCTGTTCAGACTTGTAGAGGGGATACTTACTCAAGAGTCACGTGTTTGCTTGTGCCTGTGCTGTTGACTAACAGTTACTTGCAGAATCGTGAAGGAACATGTGAATGCCTTTCTATGAAAGCAGAAAGGAAAAAAAGCATCTTAAACCTGCTTAGGGCAGCATTATAAGGATCTTTGGAAGGAATTTTCCACGTAAGTGTTCAACCTAAGAAGTTTCACTACAGGAGCACTGTAAGGCCTCATATTCTTAAGGGCTATAGGTCAAAGAGATAAAAAGTAAGGTTGTGTCTTTTTCAAATAATGTGTTAACATTAAAGAGTATTCAAAAATAGCACAGTTAAGGATGATTTTTAGTGAATTACCAGAAATTTGGATTTCAGGCATATTGCAAAGATGTTATTATATATAGTGCTGTGTTGAAAACTGCAAGCTGAGACAGATCATCTTTTTTGCCTAGAAAGGCATTTAAAACTAAGACTTAAATACAATTCTTTCTTGTAGATTGTCAAATATTTATTCAGTTTCAGTTTTTAAAATAAGGAACAAATGCTTTCTGGTCTTTGCTTTTGTTTTTAATCAGTTTTAGACAGTGCACTTTTAAGAATATTAAAAGGTATATTGACTTAGGAAGATTATTATGCTACCCTTTCATTTCTTACAAGTTGAATTGAAAACATCCAGATCCTAAGAAAAAAAGATACCTTGTCATACCAAAATGTTTAGTACAATAAACTTGCTGTCTCTTAAGATTAGTGCTGGTGCCCTGATTGACTGGTTTGGTTTCAAAGGCCATCTAAGAAGAAATCAAAAGAGAAATGAAAAAAGTCCTGGAAACAAATGACATTGAAAACAGGACAACTCAAAGGCCATCTAAAATGTATTTAAGTTTTGTATTTACTCTCTGACACATGCAGTTTAAAGTTCTGCCAATAATTGAGTGTATTTATAGAAGATTATAATTCTGAGGTTAATTAGGAAAAGTCATAGCCACAAACCTTTCTTCCCCCCACAGAGGAAATTTCAGATCAGTGTAATCCCAGTACCCATGTTGTTGAAGGCCTGTGTTTATTGGTCCAGGGATAAAATGAGACCATCTAGAAAAAAGGGATGTAGACCGCATATCCTCCTGGTAGTCGTTTGTGCAGATTCTTAGAACTGTTGATAAAAACTGAGCTACAGTTTAAGATTCTATTTTCTGGTAAAGAACACAGAGTGAATTATCCCCAAAGTTGCTAGTCTCAGGGCAGAATCCCATGTCTCTTGTCTGTAGTACCCCAGTTTCTAAAACACACATCTGACTCTCGCATTTTTCTTTTCAGAGACTTTGGATGGTTTCCCCCACTGCCTGTGTGTAATTTATGCATATTCCTTAAACTCTAAGCGCCTGTTCCCCTGACTGGCCATGGAGTTGCCTCAGTGGTGGTGGTACATTCTCTCTTCTCCCTTTTACTCAGGTGTTTCAGGGCCCACTCCGGCGTCCCCTCCGTTAAACCTTTCCCCTGTACTTTGAAAGTTTTCTCCTCTGCTCTGAACCTTGTACATGTATTTGTTCACCTCCTTCCCTGAAATGGTGAGCCTCTCAGAAAGCATCAGTTGTGGGCTGCTGTTGTTAACCTCTGATTCCTCAGCCTTGTCTCACCGCTGTCACATAGTAGCAGATGCTCAGTGCGTGTCAGTGAAGGGAGGCGGGGGCTGCAGGGAGCAGTTCCCAGTCAGGGAAGTGGCCTTGTGAACCCTGTCCTCAGGAATGCCCATGCGCTTCCCCTGAGGCCTGGAAAGAACTCTGAACAACTCTGTAAATCCAGCCGTTCTGTAACAGTCTTGAGTGTCTTGATATGTGCCCCGTGGTGAGCAGTGGGAATAGTGATGACTAGGACCAGGCCCTTGTCCCAGATCGAGTCAGGCAAAATAAAAACAAACCACATCCTGAGGGCTTCTCCCAAGTGGCTGCACTGTGCACAAATGGTCTCAGAGGCAAATTTGTGTTTTCTTGGATCTGTGTGAGGCTTTCGAGCCTTGCCAAAATCTGACAGAAGCATTAAACTAGTGGTCGCAATATACAGTGTGAAAGAGAGGGGGAACAAGGCAAGTGCATTGAGTAATGTAGGAAAGAAGTTTAGGGGCTTGAGCTCTCAACCTTGAGCAACTGTGAAAGCTCGTTTTTAAAGCTTAGTTATTTTTTGTTTAATTTTTGTGTAAACTGAACAGCTCTTCAAACGTCCAAGCTGTGAGGAAAGTTAAGTTCACACTGCAGTAAGAGACTGTTAAGAATTACAGTTGCCTTTATTTCACACTTTGCTGTAAGATTTTCTAGAATTAGTGGAACCCCCAATTTTACTGTCGATGCCAGCTGGTGTCTACATGTTACTAGGTGAGGGAAGTGTTCTGTTTATGAAGGTAATGTTCTGAGGATATTTACCATACTTGTATGTAAATCTGTGATACTTTTTATTCAGCCTAAAATAAAAATCTGTCTTGGCTCTGTTTTTCTGTTTTTCTCAAGCTATGTGCCTTGCAGGGTTGTTTTGGTTTTTGTTCTTAATCAGTTCCTTCAGCTGGAACTCTCGGAACTCCTGTTTCATGCTGAGGTGTTTGTTCGGGGTTCCCCCCACTTTCCTGAACACAGGCAAGGAGATCAAGCTAGTGAGTTCTGTTCTTATCAGCAGTTACTCATCTGTTTTGGCCCAGTCCAAAAAGAAATTCTGGTTCTTTATTTAGGGTTGATTTTTCTGGCTTAAGCTCTCTGCATGAGCCGAGGAATTCAGCAGGAACCTAGTGCAGGCCTGTCTTAGTCCCACCTGGAAGCAGAGTTTTGACCCGTGCCTGTGACCACTGCCACTTGGGGCACGGAGACCTTGAGACAGATGAGCAGTGTGGAGCCCCCCAGTTCAAATGGCGTTATACCGAGAGTTTCCCGTCACTCAGGAAAGCCGTGTGTATCTTGCTTTTCCCTTATGACCACAAAACCTTGGGAGAAATTTTGGCCCCCCGAGGTTGCCCGTCTGAATTAGGATCAACTTGTCCATTTCGCTTCATAGCGCAGGAGCTTGGCACGGGCCCTGATGTTTCAGATGCCGCAGGGCAGGAGTCTTCGCTAACCCTCCGGGAATCATGTTGGTACTGAGCAAGCGTTTACGTGTTCACCTTGAATCTCCTCTTACGTGTGTTGCGTTGGTCTGTGACCCTCCTTCTTTGCAGTGGCACCTACCACTCTCGCGACGAGAGCACAGACAGCGGGCTAAGTATGAGCAGCTACAGCGTCCCTCGGACCCCCGACGACTTCCTGAACAGCGTTGATGAGATGGACACAGGTTGGTACTCTCTGCTCCTGGTGAGCTAGCTCTCAGTCAGACACAGCCATTGTGTCGCCAGCTCTGATAAAGTATGGTGAGCCGAGAGTATGTTAAGAGCCTGTGACTTACTTGACTCTGCTTTGTTTTCTTTCTTTTTAAGTAGCATCTTGTAAAAGTCTCTTCCGACTTTTTAAATGTCACGGATGTCTTATCTCTATTTGACGTGACTTATTTTAGCATTTAAAATATTGAGTTAATTTAAAATAGTTAATGGGCAGGGCAGTTGAGGACCATATTAGAAGTCTCTGTTACGTGGATATTCATTCTTAATTTTGGAGCGAGAGCTCTGCATTTGATTTATATGTCTCTCTGTGTATGTGATTCTTTGTCTGCTTTCCTCTTTTTGTGACGGTCATTTGTCCAACTTAGGTGATCCGGGGCTCAGGTTGGCAGGTTGGAAAGGCTCGGTGGTGGCCTTACCTCGTTTGTTTGAAGAGTTGCAGGAGCTTGAAAACCTGCCCCCCCTGGGGTGGTGATAGAACCCTTGCTCCCGTGGCTTACCATTTTAACCTGGACTCGGCGGCTGTCAGCGGGCACGAGCTGGCTGGGCAGTGAAGCGGCTCTCCAGCTAGCTGGCCACTTCTGGGAGCGTTTGGCAGGGCTTCTGTGCCGCTGTGCATCCAGCCCATGGCTCCGGTGTCCCTGGGAATCTACACCACCCTCTCCTCATCTGGATCTTAAATCATCTGTACAAGTCACCTCAATGCCATCTCATTCACAACACCTTTCCTTACTCCTCTCTCCCCAGTTTCTCCCTTCTCGCTAAACTTTTATAACAATTAATGGATTGTGTTAGTTTTTCTGAAAGCGTATTCCATTGAAGTGTTCAGTAATGTTAACATTGTCATGGGCAAAAAAAGGTTCTTGGCCAGGTAAGTTTGGGAGACCCGTAAGCAAAGCTAGGAAGACTTACTTTTCCAAGGACTTCTGGGAGGCGTGATTTTACTGTTGTGAATGTGAATCTCCCAAGAGTGGGATAGAGTTTCATGCAGCCTTTTTATTTTATTCTGTTCCATAGTGTGTACTTACGAGAAAGACAGGTACACACCATTCATCTTTTTATTTTATCTTATTATGGTGGTGCATGCCTGGCACAGAGTCAAGTCCTGATGCTGTTGTGTCATACCTGTTCTTTCTCTCTCACTGTATATAATTTTTCAACAAGTTTTTTTTCAGGACCCCCATCACTGCTTAGCACGTAGTAATAAGCGGTCAGGCTTGTTCAGTATCTGAACAGATGAAGCAGAAGGAAACTTGGCGTTGTTACTTTGCCGTCTGTGGGTTGTTTGGCCTAAAGTAAACTGTGGGCATCAGTGGAGGAAGTCCATGAGGAATGCGTTTCTTTCCCTGTGTGTGTGGACCTACCTCTATGCTCACATGATGTCGGCTTTTCGAAAAGGACCTGTTTTCTTTGTGTCTCTCTCTGGTCCCTCTAGGTGACACTATCAACCAAAGCACCCTGCCCTCCCAGCAGAACCGTTTCCCAGACTATCTTGAAGCCATTCCTGGGACAAACGTGGACCTCGGAACCCTGGAGGGAGATGGGATGAACATAGAAGGGGAGGAGCTGATGCCGAGCCTGCAAGAAGCTTTGAGCTCCGACATCCTCAATGACATGGAGTCTGTTTTGGCCGCCACCAAGCTAGATAAAGAAAGCTTTCTTACATGGTTATAGAGCCCTCAGGTAGACTGAATTCTAAATCTGTGAAGGATCTAAGGAGATTAAGACCTATACCTGAAATTTCCAGTTAAGCCAGGGGCAGTCTTCTGGCTAATACAGAAAAAGATGAACAAACGTCCAGCAGGATTCTTTCATCCACTATTTTGCTCTTCCTTGTCCATTGCTGCTGTTAATATATTGCTGACCTCTTCCATAGTTGGCTCTAAGGAATCAAAAAAACTGTTTTGTTTCTTTTGCTATTATAACTACTGTTTGTTTTGGGGGCTGGGGGAAGTGAGCCTGTTTGGATGATGGATGCCATTCCTTTTGCCCAGTTAGATGTTCACCAATCATTTTAACTGAACACTCAGACTTGGAAGTCAAATGCTTCATGTCATAGCATTTAGTTTGTTCAAGCAGTTTTTCTTCAGCTGCCTTTGGCCAGTGGAAAAACATGACTTACTGGTCTAACAAGCCAAAAATGTTGTATCTGATGTTTAGTACTTAGACTGATTTGAAAAGCTAGCTGAAACCAAGGCTGAAGACTGTTTTATTTTCAGTGGTTTTTTTTTCCTCCTAGTGCTATCATTAGTCACATAGTGACCTTGATTTTATTTTAGGAGCTTATAAGGCTTGAGATAATTTCCATAGAAATATATTAATTATTGCCACATACTCTAGTATAGATTTTGATGGGGTTTATTGTGGGTTTTTTTTTTTTTTTTTGTCTTCATTGGAATTTTTATTGTCTTAGGGGTTTTTCCTTTCTTCCTCAGAATCTAGGCGAATTACCGTTGTAGTGCATCTGTTTATACTTCTAGCTTGGGACAGTTATTATAGTTCCTTTGGTAAATCTACATGTCCTGGTTTTTTTTTTTTTTTACCATCTTATTTAAATCTTGGTAATCAGCTCTCTTTATATATACCCACACACACACTTATAATGTCTATAATAGTGTGATAGCAGAATGTATCTTTTTTTTTTTTTTTTTGAGTTTTCCCTATTTTCCAATTTATTTTAAAACGGTAGCTATGAATGTATGCATTTAGAATACAAGACTAGTAGTTTATATTTCACAAGTAGTTTAAATCCGGTTGGGGTAGTGTGCAGTGGTGGTGGTGGTTTAGTGTTCTAGAAAGGGCTGTTCTTACGGATGGTGCCTCGAGGAGTCCTGTATGCCCTCTGGGCACACAGTGGATATTATCTGCTGAATTTGAAAGAAGTAAACAAGAAATGGCTTTATTATCCCCTTTAACTTTGGAAGATTACCTTCGCCTTAGTTTTGGAAGTAAAATCTAGTAGTTTAGTTCTCTTTTATAATGAACACATTAAAGACTACATTGAAATATTGCCTACGAAATTGTTTTTACTTATAAAACTTGCTCCTACTTTTATATGCTGAGAATTTACCCTGGATAGTATATGGGATACTCTAAGGTCATAAGTTAGCTGGTAAAGTGATCAGATTAATGTATATTACTAGTTGATTTTAGCAAAGAAATAGAGATAATCATGATTATACTTTTATTTTTACTGGAAGAGATATAACTAGAGTATGTGTCTACAGGAATAATAATGTTTTCCAAAGAGTATTTTTAAAGGAACAAAATGAGCATGAATCAACCCTTCAATATAAGCTATGAAGTTAATACTTACTTGTGAATTATAGTGGCATCAACTAGCACCTCTGCGATTAAGGGTCTTTCAATGTTTATAGAATAAGCCCTTATTTTCAAGGGTTTATAAGACATAAAATCTCTCTTTTCCTGGCTAAAACTGTTATGAAAAGCCTCAGCTTAGGAAAACAGGTGGGGTTTTTTATCTGATTACAAAATATAAGTATTTTGACCCTTCAGTTTAGAGGATTGCAAAAGTTGGAAGTAAAGTTTTACATTAGGTAATTTCAGTGCTCAAAATGCAGTCATGTTATATATATTGATTCATAGGCCAATCATTCATAATAATTGACTCTAAGGCTATTAAAACAGCAGAAAGATTAAATCTTGAATTAAGTCTGGGGGGAAATGGCCACTGTGCAGATAGATGTATTGATTTTTTTTTTTAAGAGGAATAATGAAATTCTGCCTGGAACGCATATTTGAGTTTATGGATGGATGATACAGCATGTTGGCTTTTTTTATATGCAGAAGATCAAAGCTACTTAGAAGGAGTGCCTACAATTTGCCATTAAGCCACAAATTAAGATCTCATCTTATATATCAGCAGAGTAGCTTTAGATTAGGGGAGAGGGTGGGAAAATGGGAGGGGGGTTGTGAAGATTTAGTGGGACCTTGATAGAGAACTTTATAAGCTTCTTTTTCTTCAATAAAAACTTGTCTATTATTGCTGTCATTAAAGGCAGTTGTTCCTAAAATTTCAGTCACTTAAGTACACCCACAAAACAAAAATATGGAGTTCTTCATTCCCCCTCAACTTGGATTTACCCAGTTATACCTCAGTGTTGTAGCAGCACCGTGGTGCCTGAAGGACATGGTGCTTTGACCTAATTATACCCATTGTACTGACCTGAAGGAGACCTAAGCCTTTCTCTTTCTGAGTTTGAATCACAGCCTTGATGTGGTCTTTCTTGTTTTTTGTCCTTGTTCCTAATGTAAAAGTGTTTAACTGCTTCTTGGTTGTATTGGGTGGCATTGGAATAAGACTTTAACTGGGTATTCTTGAATTGCTTTTACAATAAACCAATTTTATAATCTTTAAATTTATCAGCTTTTTACATTTGTGTTCTTTTTAGTTAGGGCTTATTAGATCTACTTATGGTTGATGGAGCATATTGATTGGTAGTTTCAGATTTTCCAGAGCACTATTTGTTATAATAACCAATTTATAAACAATAGTGCTTTAAAAAAAAATTAGAAAGTTAACTTTTATACAAATGGTGTTGCTGTTTTAAGTATTCATACTAAATAGATGCATTTTATATGGAACCTTGGCAGAAACACTAAAATTTTTAAAATAAAACTAATTGTGTAATTCATAATTTATACTAATCAGTGTTGAAACTCAAACAGTGCAAAAGTGGGAGGCAATATCCAGTGATTTAGTTTTATAGCTTCTTCGCATCTGAGAAATGAATGCTCAGATCAATTTTATCTTCCATAAGCATGTTTTTATAAGAATTGTGGGTGTGCCTATCTTAACAGTTGTTTTCTGTGTCTTGGCAAAATATTCTCCACATTTTAAATGTTTTATATTAGAGAATTCTTTAATGCACACTTGTCAAATATATATATATAGTACCAATGTTACCTTTTTATTTTTTGTTTTAGATGTAAGCGCATGCTCATATGTTAGGTACTTACATAAATTGTTACATTATTTTTCTTATGTAATACCTTTTTGTTTGTTTATATGGTTCAAATATATTCTTTCTTTAAACTCTTCTTTGTTGTTTTTAACCATTAATATACTTAAAACTTTGACTTCTTAATGGGTCTTCCAGTAGAACAAGTGCAAGTAATAAAAGGTGATTATAGTGGTAACTAACTGGCAGACAGGTTACACTTAAGGTTGGTCTGGTACTTGGCACTTTTGTAGTGTGGATATAATTCTTTGAACTTTATGTTCTGTACTCTTCCTGTAAACCATCCTCAGTGATAAAAGTGTGTAAGCAGAACTGTATCCCCTTCAGTCTTAAGTGATTTTACTACATGTGTTAATAGCAGCACAGAAGAAAATAGTGTTTCTTTCAAAACAGCCTTTGGTTTTATATCTCCAAAAGAGAATACTTAATGTGCTATGCTAAGTCCCTTCAGTCTTGTCAAGCTCTTTGCAACCCTGTGGACCCTAGCCCACCAGGCTCCTCTGTCCGTGGGAATCTCCAGGCAAGAATACTAGGGTGGGTTGCATGCCCTCCTTCAGGATATCTTTGCAACCCAGAGATCAAACCCATGATTCTTATTTCCTGCATTGGCAGGTGGGTTCTTTATCACTAGCGCTACCTGGGAAGCCCTATAATACTTAAGAAAATTTTTAGGTATTATTTTATAAATTAAAACACTCACAGATTTAAGTGGTAGGCTCTGAACTTTGAAGAAGTAGATTTGATTGTCTTTGAAAATCATTTATTTTTGTGTGTATATAATATCTTAATTATTGACGTGGTTTTGGTGAGGCAAGTCTGAAAACAGTGTTTTATTATGTATAATTTCTTTATGATAGTAAAACATTTTGTGGAACTTGAAATTGATTATTCCCCTTCTGCAAAATGCACAACCCCTACTGGCTGTACATTTTAACACAAAACCATACTGTGTGTCTGTAGACACTGCCCCTCTTACTAGGGAGCTACTCTTAAGATGCGGTATGCTTTACATTGGATGGCTTGCAGTCCTTCTGGAGTCTGTGAACCAGAATTGTACAGCCTTCAGGTAACTGATGTAGTCAGTCTGAGTCAGTAAGATTCTCAGAGGAATATATTAATTTGGATTTGGGAAAAACAGCCTCTAAAGAGAATAAGGACTAGTAATGGGAAGTGGTGAGCAGACCAATGAGTCTGCTGATTTCCATCCTGTCAGCTGAGGTTGTAAAGGAAGAACAGTGTCAAGGACCCCATCACATGTTCTCTCCTTCTCTAATGACAGCTGGGCCATCCCTGGTCCTGGCAGCCATCACTTAGACCGAAAATCTGGCTTTATGTGGTATTTAGGGTAAATCCATGTACTGCTCTCTTGGGCTTCAGGGTTGCACTCACACTGGGCTTCTGGAATCAACCTTATCTCTGGCAGGGCGACTTGTCCCTATCCTGCTTTAAACTGTTGCCATTTAATTTCTCTATTTAAATAGTTCTGGAAACTTTCATTAACAATCCTCTTCAATTAAAAATTTTCTGAGTTAATATCAGATGAGAATTCTGTGACATATAGTGCTGCAGTTATTCCAAATCAAACATGAAATGTTTTTTGTCATATCATCTGGATACAAAAAGCTCTGATACAAGTGAAATTAATCATTTTCTAACCATAAACATAGCCTTAAACTGGCAAACGTAATACTGCCACAAATGAAAACAGTTGCAGAATCAAGGCACTAGCAAAATAAGGTAATGTTTAAAAGACACTTTGAATTTTTTAACCTGTCATATTTTAACCACAAACAAAACTCCTGAATCAGGTGACTTGACATCTAAACTGAGAGGACTCTGTTAGAAGTTGAAGACAAAATGAGACAAAACTGGATCGGTGTGTTGCTGATTGGAGATGTCTGAGTGAAGAGCCTATTTCTGTAAAATTCCTAAATAGCTAATCTGGCACTTGGATTTCTTTTTTTTTTTTTTAAGTGAACTATTAAATACTAGAGTTACTGTAACTTTGTGAAGTTGATACTGGTTTGTATTGCAAAGTCAGTGAATGGACAATGTCTTATTCAGTCACTCAGTCGTGTCCAACTCTTTGCGACCCCACAGACTATAGCATGCAGGTCAGTGCTTGATTCTTACTAAAAGAAACCTCTCCAAAAAACAAACAAACAGCATCTAAATCAGAAGGGTATCCTATTAGCATGACTTAAATTAT